GATCCCTCACCATATACCAGACTTGAGTAAGACTTAGTTAAGGCTTAAAACCAAGCCTGCACCAAGTAGTAACTGCCGGCCGGATTAAGTCCGGTGCCTCCCGGTTCCAGTCTCAAATTGCACCCTCACTTTCTCGTTTACATAAATACTTCGAAAATCCTATCTACCTCTTTAAGGTCTAATCTTTCAACTGGCTAATCCTTATCTCTTTATAATTACCCTTAAACATATCAAACCTTCTTTCTTTCTTTATTAAAACCCATAATCAAAATGTCTTAATTCTCAGCATATTACCATTCCATTGATCGACATGCCTATTTTTTTGTTTCCAACTGCTTTCTTAAGCAGTTGGAAACTGCTTAAGAAATTTCTATGTGGTTCTTCCCGGTCACGCTTCCCGATCTCTCGAGAAGGTTTCGCGCGCCGCCACTAGCGTCTAACAACCAAAGCGTCTAACGATCTCGTAATTGAGAAACCAGCGAGTTCCACCAGTACCGAGAACAGCAAAAAAAACCTTGTCGAACATGACAGTAAAATGTTTTGAAAACGAAGGTTCGGTTCACTGAGAAAAAGGTTCGCCGTCAGGTGTGGACCTCAGGCCTTTCCATGTAAGGATGTCTTAGCAACAGCCTTGTGCTCATCTCAATCCCTCCCCCGCCCTGGTGGGATTAGGGGACCGTAAATCCCTCCCCTTCCCCTCCCTGATCGCTATTAATTGCGGTTTCAACCGTTTACTGCACGAAAAGATTGTTCGCAACAAATGGACGACAGCAATTTAATATAAGTCAAACGTGAAATGGTGAACACGAATCGTTAGCATCTGAACCAAAGGTGTTGCTAATTCATCCTGAGTTACTGAAGGGTACTCACCGACGTCTGCACCTGAGTTACTGAAGGGTACTCACCGACGTCTGCACCTGAGTTACTGAAGGGTACTCACCGACCTCTGCACCTGAGTTACTGAAGGGTACTCACCGACGTCTGCACCTGAGTTACTGAAGGGTACTCACCGACGTCTGCACCTGAGTTACTGAAGGGTACTCACCGACGTCTGCACCTGAGTTACTGAAGGGTACTCACCGACGTCTGCACCTGAGTTACTGAAGGGTACTCACCGACGTCTGCACCTGAGTTACTGAAGGGTACTCACCGACGTCTGCACCTGAGTTACTGAAGGGTACTCACCGACGTCTGCACCTGAGTTACTGAAGGGTACTCACCGACGTCTGCACCTGAGTTACTGAAGGGTACTCACCGACGTCTGCACCTGAGTTACTGAAGGGTACTCACCGACGTCTGCACCTGAGTTACTGAAGGGTACTCACCGACGTCTGCACCTGAGTTACTGAAGGGTACTCACCAACGTCTGCACCTGAGTTACTGAAGGGTACTGACCGACGTCTGCACCTGAGTTACTGAAGCGTACTCACCGACGTCTGCACCTGAGTTACTGAAGCGTACTCACCGACGTCTGCACCTGAGTTACTGAAGCGTACTCACCGACGTCTGCACCTGAGTTACTGAAGCGTACTCACCGACGTCTGCACCTGAGTTACTGAAGCGTACTCACCGACGTCTGCACCTGAGTTACTGAAGCGTACTCACCGACGTCTGCACCTGAGTTACTGAAGCGTACTCACCGACGTCTGCACCTGAGTTACTGAAGCGTACTCACCGACGTCTGCACCCGAGTTACTGAAGCGTACTCACCGACGTCTGCACCTGAGTTACTGAAGCGTACTCACCGACGTCTGCACCTGAGTTACTGAAGGGTACTCACCGACGTCTGCACCTGAGTTACTGAAGCGTACTCACCGACGTCTGCACCTGAGTTACTGAAGCGTACTCACCGACGTCTGCACCTGAGTTACTGAAGGGTACTCACCGACGTCTGCACCTGAGTTACTGAAGCGTACTCACCGACGTCTGCACCTGAGTTACTGAAGCGTACTCACCGACGTCTGCACCTGAGTTACTGAAGCGTACTCACCGACGTCTGCACCTGAGTTACTGAAGGGTACTCACCGACGTCTGCACCTGAGTTACTGAAGGGTACTCACCGACGTCTGCACCTGAGTTACTGAAGGGTACTCACCGACGTCTGCACCTGAGTTACTGAAGCGTACTCACCGACGTCTGCACCTGAGTTACTGAAGCGTACTCACCGACGTCTGCACCTGAGTTACTGAAGCGTACTCACCGACGTCTGCACCTGAGTTACTGAAGCGTACTCACCAACGTCTGCACCTGAGTTACTGAAGCGTACTCACCGACGTCTGCACCTGAGTTACTGAAGCGTACTCACCGACGTCTGCACCTGAGTTACTGAAGCGTACTCACCGACGTCTGCACCTGAGTTACTGAAGGGTACTCACCGACGTCTGCACCTGAGTTACTGAAGCGTACTCACCGACGTCTGCACCTGAGTTACTGAAGGGTACTCACCGACGTCTGCACCTGAGTTACTGAAGCGTACTCACCGACGTCTGCACCTGAGTTACTGAAGCGTACTCACCGACGTCTGCACCTGAGTTACTGAAGCGTACTCACCGACGTCTGCACCTGAGTTACTGAAGCGTACTCACCGACGTCTGCACCTGAGTTACTGAAGCGTACTCACCGACGTCTGCACCTGAGTTACTGAAGGGTACTCACCGACGTCTGCACCTGAGTTACTGAAGGGTACTGACCGACGTCTGCACCTGAGTTACTGAAGCGTACTCACCGACGTCTGCACCTGAGTTACTGAAGCGTACTCACCGACGTCTGCACCTGAGTTACTGAAGCGTACTCACCGACGTCTGCACCTGAGTTACTGAAGCGTACTCACCCAATCCTAACACACAACAAAGGCAAAAGACGAATAGACACACCAGCCCAAGACGTTTGGACAATTTGCGTCTTCACCTTACCAGCTTTTTCAGGGGAAGAGAAGGAAGAGTAATTGATGTGAATGGGAAAGGATAAGATGGGTGAAAGGAAGAGGAAGATTGAAGGGGCGATAAAATAACGGAGAAGAGAGGAAGAAGAACAGGAAAGGTGAAGGGAAAAGGAGGAACGGTAACTCAAACGGCGCCATAATGTTTCCAAGACCCCCCAACCCCCCCACAACGTAATTCGAAACCCCCACGGAAGCATACTCCAAGACCGTGTCGGACCCTCTTGGTGGGGGTGGTGGGGTGGTGGGGTGGTGGTGGGGTGGTGGCGAGGTGGCGAGGTAGTGGTGGGGTGGTGGCGAGGTAGTGGTGGGGGAGATGGTGGTGGGGAGGTAGTGGTGGCGGAAGTGGGGTGGTGATGGTGGGTGGTGGTGGGGAGGTGATGGTGGGTGGTGGTGGGGAGGTGATGGTGGGTGGTAGTGGCGAGGTAGTGGTGGGGGAGATGGTGGTGGTGATGGTGGGGAGGTAGTGGTGGGGGAGATGGTGGTGGTGATGGTGGGTGGTGGTGGCGAGGTAGTGGTGGCGGAAATGGGGTGGTGATGGTGGTGGGGGAGGTAGTGGTGGGGGAGATGGTGGTGGTCGCTATGGTGGTTACTTGTGAATTACCTAGACTTTGATATCACTCCTACCTCAGCCTTGTTTGGGCCAGCCTTCCCCGACTGCATAAAACGCTACGAATGGTTACAAGCGGGATAACGGCAATGCAGAAAAGTAAAATAATTGTTAAGACTCGGACGGAAGAGGACTGAAAGGGTGAAACAGAGGATGGTATTAAAAACGGGTAAAAAAGTCACTATTACACAGTCATAACTATTACTACACTCGAGCTTAAACTTCTCAAATTATCTATTGTTGTTCCAGCGACGTGAAATGTATTTCTTGGCAGGAGGCAGAACATTCCTGAACTTCTGAAGTTCACACAATGTTCGTTCCCGACTTTTCACCGGATTAAGTTTTAAAATTTCCTACCATATCTTTACCATATATCTACCATATCTTTACCATATCTCCACAACAACACCAGAAGGACCCAACTTAATAAAGCCGTGTGTGGATATGAGAGGTACACGACGACTCACCCAGGTACCTTACCTTACCTTACCTTACCTTACCTTACCTTACCTTACAGGTACCGGCAAATATAAAAAAACAGTAATGGAAAAAAAGGTTCAAGTTTTCAAAAGGGAACTAAGACAGGTTCCTGCAGGAAGTGCGGATCAGCCGGGTTGTTGTGGTGGCTGCGGGCCATGTTGGGGTCGTCGAAACGGAAGAGAAAAAGAGAAATGATAAGAGACGGAGGGAAAATGATAAGAGAGGGGAAATGAGGAATGGAACGGAGAGGAAAACGGAACACTGCAGAACAGAGTAGTGGGAGAGAAAGTGTGGCCGAGAGGCAGACAGCAGACTTCATCACATCCTCGCCAGAAACTTGCAACGATTAACAGGGTTTGGGAAGAAAAGTCGCCGAGCCAGAGTTGTGTGTGAGTTGGGGGAGGCGGTCCTGTGGGACCAGGAGTTGGGGGAGGCGGTCCTGTGGGACCAGGAGTTGGGGGAGGCGGTCCTGTGGGACCTGGAGTTGGGGGAGGCGGTCCTGTGGGACCAGGAGTTGGGGGAGGCGGTCCTGTGGGACCAGGAGTTGGGGGAGGCGGTCCTGTGGGACCAGGAGTTGGGGGAGGCGGTCCTGTGGGACCAGGAGTTGGGGGAGGTGGTCCTGTGGGACCAGGAGTTGGGGGAGGTGGTCCTGTGGGACCAGGAGTTGGGGAAGGCGGTCCTGTGGGACCAACGTCCATGCAGTCCACTCTGACTGTGCCTATTGCGCTTCTACTTCTCACTGGTTCTATTCTGCATTTCCTTCCGTATCTTTCGCTCCATCAGGTCGTTATTCTACTGAGCAAATTTGGGACTTGGCCTTCATGTACTTTCCATGTATATAATATTTGATACCTCTCTTTTTCTCCATTCTAGAGTGTACAGTTTGAGAGCTTTGAGACGGTTCCAGTAGTTTAGGTGTTTTATCTTATCTATGCGTGCCGTATATGCTCTTTGTATTTTCTCTTATTTCAGACGCCGGCCAGCGACCAATGGGCCTCTGGGACGCCTGACGACGACCAATGGCCCTTAGGGACGCCTGACAACGACCAATGGCCCTTAGGGACGCCTGACAACGACCAATGGCCCTTAGGGACGCCAGACAACGACCAATGGCCCTCAGGGACGCCAGACAACGACCATGGCCCTTAGGGACGCCTGACAACGACCAATGACCCTTAGGGACGCCTGACAACGACCAATGGCCCTTAGGGACGCCAGACAACGACCAATGGCCCTTAGGGACGCCAGACAACGACCAATGGCCCTTAGGGACGCCAGACAACGACCAATGGCCTTCTAGGACGCCTGACAGCGACCAATAGCCCTTAGGGACGCCGGTCAGCTACCAATGGCCCTCTGGGACGCCTGACAGCGACCAATGGCCCTTAGGGACGCCGGGGCAAAGGCTTGTTAAACTTTACTAAACTTGCTACTGACGTCATCCTAAATTTTATTTCTTGTCTACGCCTATGATCAGTATTAAAGGTACCAGGAAGTTGGTTTTGGGAGGCAGGAGGAAGTGGAGGAGTCCTGATATGAATATAGGACAGTTTTGGACGTAGGCTTGAATGCAATGTAATTTTCGTACTGTCTCTCAGACACTCCTAGCTTCCGTGTACTCATTTCTGGCTTCTCTGTATGGATTGTGGTTTCCTTCTGTTCTCTGTGCTTCCAGACACGTGTCTGTTGATCCACTGTTTCTCTATTTACCTGGCTGAAGTTTTTTCTTGAGATCTGTTCGGCTCACCTGTGGCTCCAGTTTCCATCTTCCCCTTTACCTTACGGTTACCATACGTAGGCAGGGTCTCTGAAGAGACCTTTTTTGGTTGATGGTCTGGTCAACCTGGCTGTTAGACGCCACTGCTCGCAGCCTGATGTAGAATCACAGCCCGGTTGATCAAGTAACCTTTGGCTATGTTTATCAAGTTGTCAATTGATCACCACAATATGTTGGCTAGTTATGTTCCTTATGCTTAAAGGGGCGTGTTGAACAGTCTCGGGCCCCTTGATGTTGAAAGAGTTCTCTCTCTCAGCGTACCTGTTGCACCTCTGCTTTCCAACGAGGGTATTTTGCACTTCCTGCCATGCCTCCTGGTTTCATATGGTGTTATTTTCATGTGCAGATATGGACCCAGTTCCCTCTGATAGGTTTCAAATGTAAAATATTATCCACCACTCCTGCCTGCACTATAGAGAACACAAGAGTTAAACCTTTTTAGCAGTTCTAATAAATTGAATATTTTTATTGAGTGGATTCTAGCAGTAAAAGATCTTTGCACGTTCTCCAGGTCAGCAATTTCTCGAGCCTTGAATGGCGCTGTTATTGTATAACAACATTCCACCCTAGAGAGCACTAGTAACCTAAAAAGTATTATCACTGGAATGATCTCTTGTTTGAAAGGTACAGTACTCGTCATCCAACCTGTCATTTACATTGTCAATTGCTACTGTCAATTTCCCTTAGTATCTTGTACGGAGAAGTTGAGACAAGAAATCCTCGCAAGGTAACCGCAAGGTAAGGTACCTTCTTATCATATCCCTCTCTGATTAGCTCTTCCTCCCCTGTGGTAAGTTTGAGCTTCATCGCCTTTCACTGCAGGCGTGTTCTCTCGGCTCCTTGAGGTGCTTCCAGGACTTAGCGTCCCCGCGGCCCGGTCGTCGACCAAGCCTCCTGGTTGCTGGACTGATCAACCAGGCTGTTGGACGCGGCTGCTCGCAGCTTGACGTATTGCTCTGGCTCTGACGCATGGCTCTGGCCTGACGTATGGCTCTGGGACAAGTCTAGACACATTCCACTTTCTCTATTTTGATGTTACGGTATTTTCAGGTGTGGACTCCATGGCAGTGCTGCATACTTAAGAAATGGCCTCAAGCAGGATGTATTTAGTATTCAGGTCTCTGTCTTAAGTTCCTGTAGGTGATTATCAAGAGAATGCATTAAGTCAGTAGGTTCCTGGAGGCTATTCTTTAGGGGGGGGGGAAAGAGAGAGAGAGAGAGAGAGAGAGAGAGAGAGAGAGAGAGAGAGAGAGAGAGAGAGAGAGAGAGAGAGAGAGAGAGAGAGA